AAGAGGGAATATATTTACTGTAATGACGGCTATAAAGCTTACAAAAGAAATGATATAAATGATTGCTATTACTAATCTATTCATACACAAAATAAATTGTCACGTAGGATCTAATAAAGGTAAACGTAATGACTAAGTTAAAAGGTACAAACTAGGAAATACTAAACTTAACAGCTACGCTAACAAATTCAGAATCTAGAACCCCAGAAGTGTTACAGCTTCTGGCTAACAACCTCAGAAGCTCAACTGCTTCTGAATAACAACACCAGAAGCTTCTGAATATGAATTACTTCCAATACCACCCTTTAATTCATATTCAGTTATCCAAAAAACTACAACATCAATTTCATCCCTCAAACGGATAAAGTGTTCAGTCTTGACATCCTTCGTCAGAAACATGATCATCTTTAGAAGCTTGTCCTCTAGAACCTACGTCTTCCGAGTTTTTCCTTTTAGAAGCATGACCACCACCAGATTCAAAATCTGGATCAGAATCAGATTCACCATCTGACTCATCTTTAGAGTTTCCAAAAGATTCTTCATCTTTTGATTCTAGCTCTTCTTCAGAACTTTCAAGTTCTGACTCATCTTCAGAAGTAAAATCTTCTTCATATTCTAGCTCATCTTCTAATTCTTCTTCAGACTCATAATCACCTTCGGATTTTGACTTGTCTTCAGCTTCAGAGTCATCTTCTAACTCTGACTCATCTTCAGGAACCTCTGATTCTGACTCATCTTTAGAATCTTCAGTGTCATCTTTTGATTCTGACTCATATTCAAACACTCCTTCAGAGTCAGAATATTTAGAGTCATCTTCTTCCCCTTCAGAATCAGAAAATGACAATTTCACAGGTTCCTCATCAGATTCATAAGCCATTAATAGCACAGGTTTCATCATCAGAATCTCCTCTGACTATTTTTGCTTCTTCTTTGTTTGACCAACAATCTTTAGCAAAGTGATCAAACCTATTACAACAGTAATACTGAACCATTCTCTTGGCATAGTTCTCCTTTCCCTTCTGATGTTTCTTTTCTTCAGAATAGAAGACTTCTCACTTCTGGGAACTATCACCATGTCTCTTCTGCTTCTGGTCTTTCTTGACAAAAGAAGCCTTCAGAGCCCGCTTAACTTCTCTCTCAAAAGTTCTTTCAATCAGATGCAACTCTTGTGCCTTTAGACTGCTTTGCAGCTCTGCTATTTTCATGGTGTTCAAATCTTTAGAATGTTCAATTGCTACAACAATGTAATTTGAGGAGTAAGCAACTCCAATATCTTCTCAATGATTACTTGTTCAAAAAGGATTTCTCCACAAGCCTTCATCTCATTAGTGATCAGAATCACTCTAGAGATGTACTCAGAAACCTTCTCGTTGTTTTTCATGTTGAGATTCTCATATTGCTTTCTTAGGGACTGAAGTTTCACCTTCTTCATTGATGCGTCACCACCGTAACATCTGACCAGTATATCCCACGCGCCCTTTGATGTCGTCGAATCTGCAATCTACTCAAACATGTTCACATCCACACACTGATGGATGTAGAACAACGCCTTCTGATCTTTCTTCCTCTTGTCTCTCTGTGTGTTTCTCTGCTCTTCCGTTACGTTTTCTGCAACTCGAACATATCCTTCGGTAACAAACTCAAGAACATCTTGAGCACCGAACAACACACGCATCTGAATTATCTACTCATTCCAATTTTTGCCATCAAACACTGGAAGCTTGGTACTCAGATTTTCGTTTCCGTTCATCTTCAACATTGTACAAAACACTCAGATCTCACAAACACAGTGTTTTCCAATTCCACAGAATCAGAAAATGTGATTCTGTTCAGATTTTGTTCAAAATTCATCACGAATTCAAGAATCAAAATCAATCACACAACGCCTCACCGTTTCACTCGTGTTTCCCGTGAATCCAACTGGAGCTCTAGATACCAATTGTTGGTGCACAAGGTTAATAAATGAAAGAAAGGTAAGAGAGAATATATTTACTGCAATGACGGCTATAAAGCTTACAAAAGGAATGATACAAATGATTGCTACTACTAGTCTATTTCTACAGAAAGTAAATTGCCATGTAGGCCCTAATAAAAGGTAAACTTAATGACTAAGTTAAAATGTACAAATTAGGAAATACTAAATTTAACAACTATGTTAACAAACTCAACCCAGAACCCCAGAAGCTAAGCATAATTTTGGGCGTAACCTTAGCAGCTTCTGCTTTTGACTGATAACAACTTCTGAATACATCAAACTATTGCTTCTAACTAAGCAGTCTCAAAAACTTACAGTTTCTGACTAAGAGCCTCTGAAACTCAACTGCTTCTGAATAACAACATCAGAAGCATCTGAATAACTACATCAAAAGCTTCTGAATATGAATTACTTCTAACAAAATGAAGTATATGTCTTTATGACAGTCGGTTGGGAGCTCTAAGTTTGGACCTGTATGTCTCTCCAATCAGCATAGACCTTTATTAATGTCTATTTGGATAAAAATAGGAATTTTGGTATTGTTGCGGTTAGTTTTAATTTATCATTCGCTCAAAGTTACCACAAGCAAGGCTAGTAAAAGAGACATTGATCGTGAGTGTGCTTATAGTGGCATGCGTCTACAATCTTGTATTGACAATCAGCAATACTTTTATTAATGTCTATTTTGATAACAAAATATAGGAATTTTGGCATGGTTGCAGTTAGTTTTAAATTTTTATTCTTCACATAGTTGTGAAAAGCAATTGGTAATAAAATTTTCCGACCCGTAGGGTTTCTTTCTATTATGTTCTGATAATTTATTTGGATAAAACAGCATGCATCTGGAAAGAAATTTCAGGAGATCCTTGAAGAATCAATAGTTCGTCCCCTCCAGATTGAAGGAGAACTATATATAGGAATTCCCCCAGGCATGTTTTGATGAATAATTATTTTTGTAGAGATGATAAGAAATTTATATATATGATGGGTGTTGTAGTATGATCATTTTAGTTTTCTATTTATTCCTAAGTAACTGGAGTTGAAGATTTCTGATTTTGGTTTCATGTCTTTATATTTTTAGGAGTGGAATCACGTCTTGCAGCTCTGACTGTAGACACAGATGATTTAAGCAAGATCACAGCGACCAGTAGTCGTTCGGAACTTCCCTCCACCTTCCAGCCACAGCAAATTGCTCAAATGGCAACAACTTTACCTCCTCTTTTCAATACACTAAATGTTCGGCGGGCCATCATACCAGCTGCTAATGGACATTTATCTGCCCGGGCACTTGCACGTTACTATGCAGCTCTAGCTGATGGTGGCAAGATACCACCACCTCATTCTTCTTCTTCTAAGCCAATACTTGGAAGTCATCCCCATATCCCCAAATTAACTTCTAAGAAAGCCCCCAAAAAGCGGAAATGTCTTGGAAGGGGGGTGGCAACTTTACCTGCAATTAATAGAAGTTATGAAAAAGTCTCTAGCAAAGAAGAATCTGAGGTTACAGAAGGAAGAAGCAACATCATAGATAGTAGCAGTAGCGATGATGTGGGTAGTAGCAATGTGGAAAGTAGTAATCCACGAACCCATGTTCCTGGTAAGGTCTATCGGAATCCTAGGATCATAGACGAGTTCTTGGGTACAGGAGAGTACGAGAACTTAACTTTGTCAAATGGAGGTTTTGGCTTAGGATTTAAGCGGTTTAGTTCAAAGGATGGATCGACCATTGCGTTTGGTCACTCGGGAATGGGTGGGTCTACAGGATTTTGTGATGTTACTAACAGATTTTCTATTGCTGTGACATTGAACAAAATGTCGTTTGGAGGAGTCACTGGAAAAATTGTCCAGCTTGTCTGTTCAGAGTTAAACATTCCTGTGCCAGACGATTTCCTAAGATATGCAGCAGACCATACGGGAGATGCAAATCCAGGGAGGCCTATGATTAATTAAGGGCGGAAGGTTTTGTACAATTTTTCCAACACTATTTATGCATAAATTTTCATTTTATCTATCATCTTGATGATTTATGAGTGCATTTGGGCTATTCTTGTAATCAGGAAACTAAGCAATTAAAGATCTAGCTTTTTGCTTCTAACATTGGTCGGCAAAATAATGTTTGTAATTATGTGCTCATAAATTTGAACTTCTGATAATTTAATTTTTCTGCATCATTGGGTATTTATAAAATTTAACGTATGTGGCTTTATCGACACGCTAAATGTAAGATAAACAATCCATGGATGCAGTTCATCGTGCCTTTTCTCATTTTTCTTCCTGAGATGTGTTTGTCCAGAGACCTTACACCTCTGCTAGATCCTGTCACCCGTCCAAGTTTTAACAATTCAGACTACAACTTTCTTTTCAACATTATCTATTGATTAAATTTATGTGGATTCCAATGTTTAGTGTGAGATTCACGTAAATTTCAACTAATTTTGTGTTGGAAAAGAGAGTTGTTTTTGTTTACACTCTTGTTTTAGCCATATATAATCTTCAAATTGTCCAAATAAATCATCTATATAGAGATTAAATTACAGGTGATTAGGATGTTGGGATTGTTCCAACTATGCTTGAATTTTCACACTATTATTCCAAAGTGCCAAGCTCTTACGGGTCATAAAAAGTCTTAACAAAACAAACACTCACAGGGAGAATGTGGTTTACCTATTTAGAGTGCAATTATGAAAGAATAATCTTGTTACTCTATGTCATTCATAACTTATTTTCAAGTCTAGTTGGGTTATGACATAGTTTTGCTAAAATATTTCTGTAACATTATTTCAAATTTCAATCATGAAGATCATTTACCAGCACAAATTGTAAGAAACAATCAAGGTGGGGACTAAACAAAAAGAAAAACACACCATTTGATACATACACCACCAAGTAAATATATAGAGTCTTTCATCCAAAATAGGACTATTTTCTATAACACAACATGGAGATCTAATAATATAAAACAACACATACACAAACTTAGATACTCTAACTGGACACTACAATAACATGTGGTAGTGCAAAATAGTTACTGCCATATGCTAGTCAAAGAGCTCACAGCATCATTATTAACTCCATTATTGAAATCACTGCAAGATATATGGAAGTCTCCAAGTCCAATAGCTGAATTCTGTCCAGTAACCCCGAATGAAGCATCATTTCCATGGACGGTGATGGTGGGCGAAACATGCGCCATGCAGCGGAGACCATTATTGATTTGTGGTGGAGTGGTGCTCAATTGATTATTATTTTGGAGAAGCTGGTTGTTAAAAGTGGGGAGAGTGCCCCTAGAGACCATATCCTCTGCTAACTTCACCTAAATATTGGACAGGAAATTCTTTATTAGTAGCTCAATACATGATATATGATTTATAATTGTATTAAGATTGCTATTCTTCAATGATACCTTAGCCCTCAAAGCTTCAACATCTGATTTTAGAACTCGGTTGTTTGTATTAGCATCACGAAATTGTTGACTGGCATTTGTAAGCTGTTTAAATAGGCTTGAATTTTCCAGCCTCAGTTGCTCAACCTGAGAAACAATATATTAAAAACTAATAAAGAAAATTGTTATAAAAGAGCTAAGTAATTAAACTTCTAAGATGAGGATAATTCAATTAACTAAATTACCTGAACCTCCAGATCTGCCAAATGTGCTTGTTTTCTTCTTCTAGACCTTCTAGCAGAATCGCGATTCGACACCTTCCTGAAACCATGGAAATCATGTTAAGTTGCATGAAAACATCCATCTATGAGTTTATAAAACTAACAGAAAATAAAGGAATGTTTCATAAAGTACCTTCTAAGACGCTTCATATCAATAGGGTTTGTGCTTTGTTCACAAGGACCTGCTTCATCATCTACATCAGATGGATCACGTGAAGAACCACTTGTTGTAGTTAATCCTTTGGTTTGATTTTCTCTACTGCTTGGTTTATTAGCTGACACTGGACTCGTAACTATCCATTATACAATTCAATCCAAAATAAATTATGTGACAAAATTATATGCACATACAATGAAGTTATCTATAAATGGGAGTAATATATATCTTGTAATGGTAGGGCCGTGCGGATGATGATCTTATCTTGTATTTGAAAAAAAGTTGATACTACTACTGTTTTACCATTATCCATAAGACCGCAACCATTGCATCATAATAACACATAAGGAACAGGATATTGAGCATGCTTTTCTCTTTATATATATATATATATATATATATATATATATATATATATATATATATATATATATATATATATATATATATATATATATATATATATATATATATATATATATATATATATAGAGTATTACCGGTAGGAGAAATGGATGATTGTGAATCAATAGTTGCAGTGATGGTAGAATGCTTGGGAGTGAGGTTTTGGGAGGATACAAAAGTATTATTTGTTGGTTCACCACAAGTTGAAAATGAAGTTACCGTATCCTGTAATTATTAATGCTAAATTAATATTTTCTTTGTAATAAAAATATAAGAAAATTTAACTATATAGAATATAATTAAAATTAACTTTTAATACTATGTTTAATAATATTATATTAAAAATGTATTTAATAAAATTAAATTAAACTAATTATATTAATTGAAACAAGTTTTCATATAATTAATGTTTTGTATTGAGATGTAAATTAGACATTAGAGTTGTTATTTAAACAACAAATAACTATTTCTTGTGAAATGAAAAGATGACTCTTAGTTATAAGTGATGAGAAGTAAGTTGTAACCATGAGCATAAGTTTGAATTGATGGTGAGAATTCATCGGACAATTGAATTTCTGAAGTTTAGAACTGTAATTTTTATTAAAATCACAATGACTTATTTTTTTATCAGGTATTTTATTAGCTAAAATATATCTTTAAAAATAAATAAATAAGATGTTGCGAGTATAAATTTACGTCTCTACAATGTGTTGTTCATGCACTTCTAACAAATGCACCGACTTAACACGATATTTACTCCTAATTCTATCGGTCTCATTCTTAGCCAAACACACTGACTAGTGATAGCTTTTCTTTAAGAAAAATGATATTCCTTTCACTTACATTTTTTTCCATGCTGAAGGTATAAATCAAAACATAAAAAAGATCCACTAGAAAAACAACATGGGAAAGATAAGCTGTATAAGAAAGTAACAAAACACTCCACTTCTATCTTTCACAATGACCCACTAAGATTGTGGGCAATAATACTAGAACCACTTCATAAAAAGTAGAAATAGATGATACATATTTTTTAGAGTCTATTGGCAAACTACCTAATAGATACCATGCATGGGAGAGAAAAGAATTACTATAAAGTAGATTTTGTGCATTTGATTCAGTAAATTGGGAAAGAGATTTTAAAGAAAATGCTTGTGAACTTGCTTTGTTTATAAAAGGTAAATGGAATGATCTATGTTGCTTTGGTTTTTTTCTTTTCTATTTGAAGCATAAGCACTTCTTTTAGTTTAGTGTTTGATTGAGAAAATAAGAAGTGGATGAAGGTTTTCTTTTCAAATATGAAGAGATGAGATTATTGTTATAATTTTTTTTAATAAAAGGGTTGGATTATTTTAAATCTTTTTCTTTTAGGTTCAAATAAATGCAATCACTTAATTCTAGCTTACATATATGATATTGTAGAAATTTGAAGAGGATATAACATATGTAAAATATACATCAACATTTTCTATCTATTAACCAAACAATACTAAATTGAAATCTCATTTTTTAAAAACAACTAGAATGCATGACCAAGTTAAAGCTACAATTTTAGCTCTTTGAAAGACATGTCTAACTATCTTAACATGAATCCAAACACCCATTAAACTTATTTATCATCGTTTGAGAGGCACTACAAAGTTTAGTTGTTAATTGCTGACTAACATAACTAATTAGAATTTAATTATATATATTCTTTGTATTAGTTGAGTTTTGATTTTTATTGAGGAAAATAGATTCAATGCAGTTAGATTACTCATGCAATCACGCAGTCATGATGTTTATGATCATCAAATCTTAATTGAACATTCTATAAAAAATATATTTAAATTTCATCAAATTTATATATATATATATATATATATATATATATATATATATATATATATATATATATATATATATATATATATATATATATATATATATATATATATATATATATATATATATATATATATATATATATATTTGATGGCAAACGTTTGATTTTGATCGGAAGATCTAGACATGACTACTTGATTACAAGGAAATATGTCACTAAAGGCAAATCCGATCCCTTTATTGAGATCGCACAAATAATCATAGTATAGTTTACAAGCCAATAACAAACTTTGTATATAAATCTTCTTTTTAAAACTAAAGTGTACCAAATAATCACGTCTTGAACATCTAGAGGTAAAGCTTAATTAGATTCTCAAATTAAGTAACATGTCCATTGTTGTTTCCCAAAGTAAAAGACAAAATAAAACTAAAGTAAGCAAAGATCCTCATAAAGTAGTGCGTTCCCACGAGTTCAAAAGACAACATAATAATTTATCAATAATAATAAATGAAAAAATAAGAAAAAAAGTATACTACACATTAACAATACTTTCTTCATCACTAAACAAAATTCCTGCTGACATGGCACCTTCACAAGTTCCCTTCCTTCACCCTTTAAATACACCAAATTCCATTCACATAAAAAAAAGTTCTCCATCCTCTTCAACACTACTTATTGATTGATAAAGAAATCAAACACTCATCGTCACAAACAAAAATTGCATACCTTCAAATTTGAACGGATTCTCTTTTATAAAACTATTACGTTTTAATTAACTATTAGGTCTAATCTCATGTGTTAGTTGAGATAAAAGAATGTAATAAGCCAGTATACGATATTATTTATCTTCAATTAATTTAACCATTATCTCAAATTAGTTAAATTATTCGATCTCATAATTAAATTGACTACGAGTTTAGAAGAAGATTTTGAATTTGCACGAACTAAATCAGTTATTCAGTTTAAATATGGCGGTAAAAAATTTAACAACTAAATAATAACTACAAAAAAAAATACACGTATCAAAGTGAAAACTAAAACTATTATTAGTGATAGCAATATTAATATGATAATCGATTTTTAATTTATTTTATATTTTATTGTTAGTAGCGTTCTTAGCAAGCTTCAAAGTGTTAAGTTTATTAACAAAATCACGTTAAGGAATTAATTAATAATCGTTCAAACGTGCTTTTCTGAGAAAGCGATTAATCAAATTCACAAGTGCACAGTGTGTGAGAGTGAGAGAGCACTGACCAGATTATGAAAATCGGCGGCGTCAGCGACGATACCGGAGCAAACATCACCGACGCCGGTGAACGGATCCACTTTAAACGGTTTCACGTCTACGTCGTTCGCTGAATCGGTTTCCGTTTCAACTGTAACTGGCCGCTTTGTGAAGAGTTCGTGATCGAACTCCGTGATCCACTTGAGATCTTCGAAGCCGGAGAAAATGGAGGACGGCGTTAGAATGGTTCCCCACTTTGGTTCCATTGCGCCGGAGAGAGAAAAGAAGAAGAAAAGGGACTAAGAGAAGGTGCTTCGTGCGTATAAATAGGAAAAGTTTTGAATCATTTGATACGTGGCGCTTTACAGTGGCATCACACAAAACTTTTGAGTTATATAACTTAATTTTGTCTTGTAAAAATAATGGTTGGGAGATAAATATTCCATTATTAATAGTTTATGATTGATAATTGATGAGTGATAATTGATAAATTAATAGAAATATTTCGTAAAATTAAGTTTAATTAATTAATAAATTAAAATAATATAAAAATATTTAATATATAATTATTTTATTTTTAATAAAAATAAATTATAAAGGATAATAGTTGAATTTATTTAAAATAATAAAGGTAAAAAAAGGAAAAAAATGATAAATTATAAATTATAAAATATTTGAAATATAATATCTAAAAAATAAACTATGAACTAGTAAAATAAATTTGATGAAAATATCAATATTAAACATGTCTTTTATTATTATATAAACATATAAACTATAAATTTTAAAAATATTTTATCAATCAGAGCATTAATATTTATTTAAGATAAGTGAATTTGACAACCAATAAATTATTTAAAACATAAAAAATAACAATTTTATTATATTTTTATTTTTATGAAATAGTGACGTATTTAATGTTATTTAGATAATATAACTAAAGAATAATAATTAATATTAAATTAGATATATTAATTATTTAGGGACATATCAAACATTTTTTTTTGTGATAATTAGAGTGAAAGGATAAATAGAATATCTACTAATTATAAACAAATTGGCAATGTCTCCAAAAATATTTATTACATTTTTAATTAAAAAGAGAAATTAAAATACTATGTCAAGATTGTACATATTTTTATAATTCTTGTAGCAAGCTTGATCCACAGGAAGAAGTGCTTTCTACTTAGGTCCCAATTCGATGGTCCACCGCCGCAACACATAAACATCTTTTAAATTAAAGAGATAAATTTGTGAATTTATGTGGTTGAATGTATAATAATTTTCAATTTTGATGTTAGTGATATATCCAGAGAAGATATCTCATGTCTCATTAATAAAAAGAGATTCGAGATCAACATGTTTATACGATCAGAAGTAATCTAGTAAATTTTTTTGAAGCTTTGAACAAAGTATGAAAGCTCGTTAGTTCATGTTTGTCTCTCTGTCGGAGAGACACGAGTTTTATAAAAGTAAGTAAGTAATTTAGAAGAATTAAGACAACTCACACACACTTAAAAATATATTTTCAAATATTTTCATCTTAAAAATTATTTTGTTAAATACGCAAAGTGATTAAAAAGATGTTCAAACCTTTTTCAAACTATTTTTGAACTAATCAATTGATTGGTGAGTTGTGTCAATTGAATTGCAAAACTTTTCTGAGCCAGTCAATCAACTGGAGCATTAAGCTAATCAATTGGAGAAGATATCAATTAGCCAAGCAATTAGAATATCATATTAATGACCTACAACGACTATATATCTAATATTTCCTACTTGGGTATGCTAATCGATTAAAAATAAATTGGTCAATTAGTTAGAGTTTTGTGTCAGTCGATAGGTTCATTAGTTTAACTAATGGATCTTTTTTTTTTTTGCTTTTTCCAAATCCATATAAAGAGGCTCGCCTCCACTCCATTTCACGTCACTTTCCAACGATTTACATTTTCTTTTGAATTCATCTCTCAAATTTCTCTCTCTTTCTAGAAAATATTTGTTTCACTTAAAGTTGCCTTAGTACTTGTGAATGAAACTTTGCTTCTGAGAAAGAGTCATGTAAGTGGTCATGTTGTTTGTCTGATTCTTGAGAGTGTGATACTCTTAAGAGAATTGAGTTTGGTTTGTGAGACAAACTTGTCTTTAAATCTTTGCTTTGGTTTATTGAGTTTTGCCGAAATAAGTTCTGCTTTTAGTTATTGAGACCAGCCTGAAAATATTTAAGAAGGTTTTATCTTAGCCAGTGATAAAAGCTATTTGTGGTTGGGGATAAACCTGTAAGAATATCAAGATCAACTTGTATTAAGGTTCGTGGGCATAACTTGTAAAAGCTAAAAAGAATAGTCAAAATCTCAAGAAGACCTCTTTAGGACAGGACTAGGTCAGCGTTCGGCCAAACCTGGATAACTATCTAGTGAAATCTTTCTAACCTTTACTCTCTTTATTTTTCTATTGTTTAGTATATATTCTATTTCTGCTGACATTTTACTCTCAAGAAATTATTAACACGGTCTTAATCGAGATAAATATAAAAGTAATCACAAATTTTAGGGTTAAATATACAACACTCCTACAATGTAAGCGAAAGTTGCTTTATATCCATGTAAAAGAATTTTTTTATTCGCCTCTTATAATATGAAAATTCCCCGTCTATGGCCTTTGGGTGCAGTATTTCAACCTATATCCCATTTTTAATCCAACATGGCATATAAGTTTTATTTGACGTGAATTTTTTTTACAATTTCTTAACTTACATATTTTGTCTTATTTATTATCCCCTGTAAATGCTAGGGTTAGTCTAAAAATACCAAATCAGGCAACTTTTGTTGGAACGTGTGATACGGTGGGAGAACTGACTTGGGTGTTTTGCGTTTGATCGCAAATGTTGCGGTTAGCAAGAGTCGCCACCGACTTTTCTTTTATCCAAAAGGAAAGGTGAAAAAGCACAGGAAAGAGCTTTAAGATTATTTCTTGAGTTAGGGGGGTAGATTATGAAAAGGGAAGGTATTAACATCCTTTTCATCCATGGTTTTCCATGGGCTCTTAGTTACTTGCTAGATCACTTGCTTTTTTTTTTGTTTGAAATTGTGCTTTGTGTGGTTTTTGAAAGTATTTTGTAAAGAGGCCATCGTTTAGGCAATCTTTGTAATGATTTTCTTTCATAAGAATGTATACAAAGATGTTTTATCTTTTGAAATTTTTTTCAAGTTTGTAAGAGGTTTTGAAAGTGTAAGTGCTTGTTTTAAAAATAGCAAGGATGTTTTGTTTGAAATTGAGCAAGTAATTAGGAGCATTCTACCTACTCAAAAGTCTTTATTGTTCATTTTCTTTTCCTTTGACATTGTTGTCTTACCATTGATTTGGTAAATAACCCTATCTTTGGATGTAAACGGGACGAGCGTGGGTCATCGTATAATCGTGATTAGCAATGTTGCAAGGTATCTTAGCATTCTTTTTAGGGACTAAGATCATATGAAAGGCAACATAGATAGCGTCATTGAGGGACTATGATCTTGTATTTGCTTGTTTTTGCTAAGATACCTCACATGTGTAATATGGCCATTTTGTATAAGGCAACCAAGTGGAATAACCCTAGGGGCTGTTTGTGTGAAAATATATTGTTTTCATGCTTGATTTTGTCTTGAATTAGGGTTTTCTAAGTATTGGTTTTAGTCTTTCCATACAAACCCTAATTACTAACATGTTATATATAAAGCGATAAATTGCGGAATTCAAAGTTACTACGCTATTACAATACTTGTGGGAGGGGGTGTACAAATTGAATGGGGATTGCAAATAAAATTAAACCCTAAGTTACTATTACAACCATATTGAATGGATAAGAATGTACAAGAAACTGTGAAATGGACTTGTTTTGATTAAGAAAAGAAATAAGTTTTGTTTAAGAAAATATTTTTGATCTTTTTGTTTTAAGAAATAAAATAAAGCATGTAAAATGTAAAATGTTTTTGGTGTTTTTGATTAGTGAAAATAGAAGTGATAGCAAAAATAGTAAGGAAAAATAAAATAGAATCAACGCATTGCTGAACTAAAAGAGATCAGAAGTTCTGACTCTGGCGTGCTGCAAAAACAGAAATCACATTAGTAGAAATAGGTAAAGTCATAAGTTCTGGGTCCACTGGGAACAAAGAAGATTTCAGAAGTTCTGATGCCACTGGCAGAACTTCGTCTCCATCTCCACGCTAGTCAGAACACCTGCAACTTAGTCATTTCTCAACAAAACAGAAGATGCGCATGTAATAGTTATGGCAAGTTTCGCAATGTTTCAGAAACAAGAGATATCATAACTATAAATCAGAAGCAAGCATGAATTTGCTAATCCTAATTCTGAGTCCTAATTTCTTCAAAAAGTTATGAACTGAAATTCTCTCTACTTAGGCAGGAAAATACATGAAACCTCAGAACATGTATAACATTAGAATTAGGATGTCTACATTGTATTTTGAACATACAAGTCTAACAATGCCTAATTAATATGACGAAAGTCAACAAAATCTTACCTTGCAGCTGGAAAATGTTCTGTGAGCTGGAGTCTGGTTCTGACCGCTTATGATGTCCTAAGAAGCTTCCTCACGTGTTCAGCAGGCTGGAAACTTTTAACTTGGGCTACGAATGGTTAGAAGATTCTGGAATAACCAAGGGGTAAAGTTATGACTTTCTTGAAGTGGATATGGATGGAGAGTCTGTTACAGTCTGAACACAGAAGTTGGGATAACTTATAATATGTAAATCAGAAACTGTATGGATGGTTTTGGTCAAGAAACACTTGAGAAAAAATGGAGTTTGAATGCAAGAATCAAAAGCTAACAGGTTTTATATTTTTATGTGTTTGTAGTTTTGGACTCTTGGAATTTTAGCAGGGGTTCAAGGCTTTTTCTTTCTCAAAATTTTCGACCCTTTTACAGTTTCCAATGAAGTCCAATTTATAGGCAAAGGTTTAGTCGCTTGGAGAGGTCAAGGGGTACAACCATCATATGCTAGGCGCTGACTTGTTCTTGAATAGGTTCAAATAGGTATGGTGGTTAGCAGCTTTAGCAGCGCCTAAGCCGGATTTATAAGAGGAATTAAGGAAAGGCAACCTCAAAAGTAAAGCAACGCATGGGCCCATCACACTCTTGTAGAAAAGTTTGCTTTTCCAAGATAGTAATGGTACTTCTATGCCACACGTGGGGAAATCTTTTGGATAAAGATCCAAAAGTGGTTGTGAGCATTAAATGATGATGAGATTTATCAAATGGAAATCCTG